TTGGCCTTGAGTTTTTCTTGCTCCAAAATTGCCTTGAAGCAAGTGCCATGTGTTCATGATATGCATACTTCGTATCTTTGGGGTTGCTCTCCTCTTCTTCCTCTTCTTCGTCTTCCACTATGAGCTTGGCCTTCAATGCAAGGTTAGGCTTCTTTGCCCGTTGAGAACGGAGCACCGCATAGTCGGCGGTCTTGTCCAAAATGTTCATGGCCACAAACTCATCCAACACTTCGCTTGAGGTCAAAGTGTGGAAGTCCGGTCTTTGACGAATGACGGAGGACATGGCCTTGTGATAGGGCATCATTGCCTTGAGGAATTTGCGCTTGATCCAATTGTCATCCGTGTCCTTGCTCCCGTGATCTCGTAGTGAGACCGCGAGTTTGGTTACTCTCCGATAGAGCTCACGAGGTTCTTCATCTTCCTTCATTGCAAACTCATCGGCCTCATCTTGTACCACTTCATAGTTGGAGCGTTGAATGCTTGCGCTTCCCCGGTAGAGAGACACGACACAATGCCATGCATCTTTGGCCAAGGCGAAAGGACGAATATGAGGTAGGTCTTCGGGTGGAATAGCATCTTGAATGATGAAGAGAGCATTCTCATTGAATTGATTGTCCGCGGCTTCTCGAGGAGTGAAGTTGCTTGGATCATGTGGATAGAAACCTTCTTCAATGATTCTCCAAAGGTTAGTGTTCACATGATTTAAATGACGTTTAAAGCGGTAAATCCAAGAATCAAAATCCTCATTTTTCACAATCTTAGGGGGAGGACCGGCATGATTCAAATGAGTGGAAGGAACCGGTCCACCATAAACAAGTGGTGGTTCCACATGGGCAAAGATGCCGGTGCCATTCTTGCCACTAGAAGAAGGAGCCTTTTCACTACTAGCTTCCCCCTTGTCGGGGATAGCATCCGTCACCTTGTTGGCGGGATCACCCACTTTCAACGGTGCGGTGGATAGTTTAAGCCCCTCAAGAAATTTAGTAAACATGCTTTCGACTTCGGTCGTCATGGAGGTTTTCAATGTCTCCAAGGCCACATTGAACTCCTCACGAGAGACCGAAGTTCCCCCATCTCCCGTAGACGAGATCGGATTCACACCGGAGTGTTCCTCCACACCGTCTATGGTATCAACCATACTCTTTGGACGATAAAGTCCTTAATAAAGAGACGAGGCTCTGATACCAATTGAAAGGATCGATATGGTTGACTAGAGGGGGGGGGGGTTGAATAGGCAACTAACAATTTTTAGCTTTTCTTTAACAAGTTAAACTTTGCATCAAAATAGGTTGTCTAGAAATGCAACTAGGTGAGCAACCTATATGATGCAACGAGGATAGGTACACAAGCAAGCAAGATATATGAAACAAGTAAGCTTGCTTAAATAAAGGCACGAGATAACCAAGAGTGGAGATGGTGGAGACGAGGATGTGTTGCCGAAGTTCCTTCCCTTTGAGAGGAAGTACGTCTCCGTTGGAGCGGTGTGGAGGCACAATGCTCCCCAAGAAGCCACTAGGGCCACCGTATTCTCCTCACGCCCTCACACAATGCGAGATGCCATGATTCCACTATTGGTGCTCTTGAAGGCGGCTACCGAACCTTTACAAACAAGGTTGGGGATCTCTCCACAACTTAATTGGAGGCTCCCAACAAAACCACGAAGCTTCACCACAATGAAATATGGCTCCGAGGTGACCTCAACCGTCTAGGGTGCTCAAACACCCAAGAGTAACAAAATCCACACAAGAAAGTATGGGGGAACCAAATATCCTTTGGTGGAAGTGTAGATCTAGGTCTCCTCCTTCAATCCCTAGCAAATCAACAAGTTTGAGTGGCTAGAGAGAGAGATCGGGCAAGAGAGCTTGAAGGGCATCAATGGTGGAGTGAGAGAGGTCAAAAGGTAGGAGTGGTAGGTGGGAGAAGCCCCCTTAAGTAGTCTCCCCACAATTCCAACCGTTAATGCGTTTTTGCACTGCAGCGGTACAACCGGTCCTCGTCCCGGTACAACCGGGACTCACGGTGTAACAGCAGAACCCTACCAAGCGGTACAACCGGACAGGTAGGCGGTAGTACCGGCTAAGAAAGATAACCGGACTAATCGCCTGGCTACCGCACAACCACCGCATCAAAACAGGAGCTTGACCGGTACTTGGGCGGTGCCTGGCCGGAACAACCGCATGGCCTTGAGCTCTTGGGCGGCTAAGTTCTGAGCGGAAGAACCGCTCCGACCACCGGTGGTACCGGTCATCGTGGAACGACCGGACCAACCGGGCCACTACCGCCCAAGAACAGCATCAAACCAGAGGCAAGAGTGTACTTGAGCGGTACATGGATGGAACCACCGCCCTAGCTGTTGCAGAGCATGGTGGCGGTACAACCGCTCGAGCAAAATCTGGTGAGCGACAAGACCCAGCGGTACAACCGCTCCAGAGAGCGGTACAACCGCTGGGCAGAAACAGTGAGCAGGAAAGAGGGGAAGAGGCAAGGAAAACTCTTTCTCTCACACACACCTGAGGAAGGCAAAGAGAGGGTGAGAAAAGTGTACGTGAACTGATTCCCCCAGAGCTTCCTAATGAGGATTCCCTCTTGATAGTACGGGTACTCTACGACCAAAGAAAATAAAAACGTAGAGGACACGTCTTCGATCTTTTCCTTCGAGAGGTAATAGCAATCCGATGTAAGCCTAAGCATCAAGAACCTAAAACATATAGCACACGTTTAGACCATAAAGGGTTGTCATCATCATCCAAAACATAAAGTAGGGAAATGCCCTTTCAGCCCTTGCTAGGTAGCAACCTCCTCGAGTTAAACACGTTTTTGGTGAAGCTTCTCATGCCCTCGGGCTCCCAGTGGGACATCGATTGCGGCAACACCCATCGTGGTGGAGACGAGCTTCTGTGTCGGCTAGGCGAAGACGGCGATGCCATTCTTCCTAGGGAGGCCAAACTCCAAGTTGACCTATGAGTAACAGTGGTGTAACTCTTGCCCCCACTCATTGTGTTGCGCGACTAGCTCATACTTCTGGCAACTAAGTTTCTCTTGCTTGGTGGTGAGTTTGCATGCACATTGTTTCGAGTTGCTTCCCCTTGGGGCTCTTTTCAGCAATGGGTGAGGATGTCGAAGTTGGCTATCGTGTCGAAGTCGATCCGTGTCATAAATACCTCGCGCGCCAGATAGTAGCCTTCCTACCCCTCGCCAGTTTTCTAGACTAGAGCTGAGAACAGACGACGGGGAGTCGATCATTCCCACCAGGTGAGAGCTCTGACCTGTAGTGAACGAAGGGGATGATGTTGGAGCAACAACATGGCTCAAGTGAAGTTTGCGAGCACACAACTGTTGAAGTTGCCGTCTATAAAGTACAAGCCTTCGAAACACGAAAGTCTTGGCCCTCGTCAAATGGGGTGGCAAGGATCCAAGCCTCTGCCATCTTGGAGGTGAAGCAGAGGGCGTCAAGGGCGAGATCCCGATCTGATGTGAAGCCACCGACCTTGGTTGATAATGCCATCCCGATCCACTCAAAGGATTCGCGCCCACAACCCTACCCGGCTAAAATCGAAGCAAAATTCCATAAGGGAAGATCTACCCCGGTTGTGAGGATTTAGGGGTCAAAATCATACCAAATTCGAGTTTAGTTTTTTTTCTCTCACCGCCACTTTTTTGGGAGCGATTGTATCTCGTCCACAGTGAGACACAATCACGCATCGTCTCAAGGACGACATAATGAGCCGACCCATAATCACATAGCATACACTAGTTAGTTGTTTTTTTTGTTCAATTTTCTAAAATACATATATTCCAAAAAAATTAATGCACTTAATTTTGTTTAAATGTTCACCATCAATTTGAAAATGCTAACACAGTGTATTGTTTTGTTAGTGTATTTTTTTATAAAAATGTTGATACCAATCAAATAATTGTTCTTGACATTTAAAAAATGTTCACGAGTTTCAAAAAATATACATGACATATTAAAAACATGTCATGCAGTGCAAAACATAATTTTTACCATTAAAAGATTCTACATTATATTTTAAAATACTCACAAATTTTAAAAAATATGTTTGTGACATTTAAAAAAATGTTTATACAATGTAAAAAATGTTCTCATAGTATTGTTCCAGCATGTGTTAGAAAAATGTTTAACATGTATTCCAAAAATGTTTGAAAATAAGTATATGTAAAAATGTTAAACATGTATACATTTTTTATATGCATATGAAAATTTATAATGTGTGTGAAAATGTGACATCAAAATACAGGGGCCCAGATCTGGAGTTCGATAGCGTGTCGGGATGTTGCCCTGGCCTGACTCATTCGACGACAATGTGTTAGCCTTTGGTGAGTCACCTTGGAGGTCCGCAAAACAGCATATCAACGATGAAGCCACGTCGAGCTCCGGTGAGAAAGTGATCCGTCATTTTTTCCCTTTGGTAATTGTTGTGGGGCTACCAGAGCAAGATGACGGGCGTTGGTGTCAAGCTCAGAGAATTTCTTCGGTCTTGATTGTATTTCTCTTTCTTGGTTGATGTTCCTTTATGCGACTAGCATTCTGCCATCTTTTCAGTTTTGTCAGGTTAGTGTCTACGTGGCTTGTACAATGATCTTTATGATATAAATGTGACACATATTACCATGTCAATTTTTTTTTAAAAATATGATCATGTATTTGAAAAAGGTAAGCATCTATTAAAAATGTTGCTGATGTATACAAACAATGCACAATGTGTACAAAAAAATTATATGTGTGTTGAAAGCAATAAAAAATCATAAGAAAAAACCAAAGCAAACCAGTGAAAGAAACAAAGAAACCAGAGAAAAACTCGAAGAAAAAATAAAAATAAAAACGAAAATAATATAAAAACTGAACGAAAAAACTCACGTAGTTGTAGCTACAGTATTGGGCCGTCCCACTAGAGCCGGAGCGCGGGGCTTGTGGGCTCTCTCCCCCTCTCTCCCAAAGCCGTGGGCTCTCTTTCCCTCTCTCCCCCAAAGCCCCGGCCATGGCGAGCCGCCGCGGAGCGCCTCCGCTGCCCCTCCGGCTCCGGCGGCTCCTACGGTCGCCGATCCCTCGCTGCGCTTGCTTCATAGTCGCATTGACGGTGCTCCTTGTCGTCCTCTCACTTCGCCAGATCGCCCGCGTCGACCTGCCCCGCCCGGACCTGCCCCACCAGGCCCGTTTCCTGATGCTTCCCCTTCACTTTTGTGTCTGTCAGTACTGTTTTCCCCGCACTAGTTTGCGCGTTAGGCTTCCGTTTTCGATGCGATGCAGGTCTTGTTTGCACAAATTTCTGTAGGTAATTTCATCTCATTTCTTGTGATGCGTCATGCTTTTGTGCAAAGTAGACCAGGATGAAGTGTTCAATTATTCTTCGTGTTGTTGAAACTAAAGGTTGGTCAAAACCAACTGCTGTAGTTAAGAGAAAGCAATGCTGTTGCTAGACAAACCATCTCGACATCCTGTGAGTGTTGAGCCAGCGAAACTTGAGGATGGTGTATGATTTAATTGTCATACAGTTAGATGCCTGTTTATTTTGACCCCCCCTTTTTTTTAATGAAAAGCTCAAATACCTGGTATGAAGTGTATTTCTGCTGACTTTGAATACGTTATTAAGAAATATAGTGCTATCGTAATGCTCAGTATCCCCAAATAAATTTCTGTGTCTTGGATGTTTCTTGTATAACAACTTACCATACATATGCATTTGGAAATGAGAAGACCTTGCTTCTTAGAAATCCAAAATTACTTCATGTGCTGGCCAGCCATTTTCTTTAAATGAAACTAATATTGACTCAGTGTGTAGTCATGGTACGTTGTTGATTGCTGAACTGGAGTTGTAACTGATGTTCAGGTGCCGAATGAGCAGCTGTGGGGTTCTAATGCCTACGGTTATCATGCTTGTGTCACACCAACCCACAGATATATTGGTAAATTTCTTTCTTATGCAGCATTTTTTTTCAGAAACATATGGTGATTCCTACTTTGTTGACTAAGTTGGGTTGCTCTAATTGTTTGTAAATTGGTAAGTGTTTGTTGCTGGTGATATGAAGCTGGAATTTGGTGGAAACTAGTATCGTCAACCATGCTTGGTGGGGTTTTTCTGTCTACTAATGAAAGTATTACTTGACTATTTAGTCTCCAGTAGGTTTAAATGTGTTTTATTTCTAAAGGATGTCTTCTCAACAGTGCTACTGTTTTGTGAACGTCTCTCTTTTTGAGTAACTAGTGTCTAAATGAAGCAATCTAATGTATACGACTACAATGGTGATATGGCTTAATTAGGATTCTGCACTAGGAGTAAACTTTAGAGTAAACAGAAATATAGTGCTTTGTTCAGAGATCAGTTTTACATATATGCTCTCTATATGCTTTGTGGTCCTAATTTCTCCTTTAGTGTAACTACCTTTGATCTTCTTAGTTCTTATATGTAAATCAAACATCTAGGTGCAGATGTGCAGTATCTTACATTTGATAATAAGAATATGTGCTTTATGTGCAATAGGAGTGATACAACAATTATGGTATAGCTTATTCTTCTGGTCCTTATTTTAGGGTCAAATGTCCCTGAATCTGTATCCTTGTATTGTATCTATATTACTCTGCTGTAGAAACACTGTCATGCGAATTCAGTGCACATACATGTTTTCTTGGTAGGTTTCCCTCAATATTGTTTTGTTTAGTAACACCCTTTTTTTTGCATCACCAGCTCCAATAGAGTCGGACCACTATATGACTGTTAGAAGTAATGGAGGACTCAACCAAATGCGAACTGGAGTAAGTTCGTGCACCAAAACTTAGCTTCTAGCTCCATGGTTTATCCGACTCACACTTGCATACTTTTGCACTCCTGTAATAATAATTGCATGTATATATGCATTTTCTTCTTCTGAATATCCAGTTCTGCTTTTGTTGATGTATTTATCTATTTTATTATGTTATCTTCTTGATTATTATCATTAAATTAATATTTTTCTTGAGATTTGTTCAAGTACGGTCACCAAACTTTGTTTGAATTCTGTTATCTCCCCTCTGCAGATCTGTGATATGATTGCAGTAGCCCGCTTGGTGAATGCAACACTTGTTATTCCTCAGTTAGACAAGCGATCTTTTTGGCAAGATACCAGGTTTTGACTGTTGTATATTTGGTTGATTGTCCAATTTCATTCATGTTTATCTAAAATCCAATTCGCACCAATACATGCAGTACGTTTAAAGACATCTTCAATGAGCCTGGTTTTATTAAAGCTCTGGAAGGTGATGTCCATATCGTTAGTGACTTGCCTGAAAGTTTGCAATCTGCTCCAAGAGCTCGGAAGCACTTTACTTCATGGTCTGGTGCGAGCTATTACGAGGATGTGAAAGAACTTTGGAAGGATCACAAGGTAGTCTTCAATTCAGATACTCCATTAGCTACCTCAACGTACCGATTTAGTAGCTGTTTTCTTTTGTCATAAAAAAATAGCATCCTTTCTGTTCAATAAAACTAGACATTTTAGTGGACTATCATTTTGCTATTTTTTCTTTGTATCCTTCAAGATATTGAATGATGTGATCTGAAACTTTTGGTTTTGTTCTGGTATGGAGAGTTGAAAGTGCTACCACATTACTCTGTTATCAGTTATTGAAATTATTCTTTATGGAAAGCATCTTCATTAATGTTTCCAAGCAATATGACGTATAGAAAGATCGCCAATCTATTTTCTGTGCTTAGCAACATGGCTGTTCTTTGACATGGTGGTTGCATCAGACATTTTCAATTTGACACAAATTATTTGAGCAACACTTACATAAAAATATAGATTTTCAAAAAATTTGTCTGCATAATTTGATTTTTTTCCCTTCTGGATCTGGAGTGTGAAGCTCATTTATTTGAGTTCACCTGATCACTTCCGAATTATATTCTGCAGGTAGTTCACATCCCAAAATCTGATTCACGGCTTGCAAACAACGGTCTTCCGGTTGATATCCAGAGACTAAGATGCCGCTGTCTTTACCAAGCATTGCGTTTCTCAGATCCAATCGAGGACCTTGGAAAGGCATGAACATTCTCCTAGTAACTTAAATCTTTAACTATGATTGTGTTACAGTCTTCAATTTGCACTTGGAGATTTATGACACTCTGTAAACTAGGTTCTGAGCCAACATAACACTTGCACAACAGAAGCTTGTGGAGCGTCTAAAATCACGTGGAAAGTTTATTGCTCTTCATCTACGATATGAAAAAGATATGCTAGCATTCACGGGCTGCACTTATGGTCTGAGTAAATCCGAAGCGGACGAATTGAGAATCATGAGGTATTATCAATCAACACAAATATGTGCAGTTTTATTTCTACATGCAAATTATATTAACTGGCTTCATGTATCTCAACAGAGAGAAAACAAGCCATTGGAAACTGAAGGACATAAACTCAACTGAACAGAGATCTGGAGGTAATTGTCCATTGACTCCACACGAGGTGGGGATGTTTCTACGTGCGATGGGATATACCAAGTCCACTTGGATCTACATTGCAGCTGGTGAAATTTATGGTGGTGATAAGTATATATCAAAATTGAGATCGTATTTTCCAAACTTGGTTAGCAAGGTTGTTAGCAGTGTTACTTCTTTTATTGATTAGCTCCACCATCCTTCACTATTCTACTAAACTAATATACTTCTGCAGGAAGTGCTGGCAACAAAAGAAGAGCTTCAGAAGTTTAAGAATCATGCTTCTCAAGTTGCAGCACTTGACTACATTATTTCAGTGGAAAGTGATGTGTTTATTCCATCACACTCCGGCAATATGGCAAGAGCTGTTGAGGGCCATCGTAGATTTCTGGGTCATCGCAAGACTTTGACTCCTGATAGGTAAACATATTTTGCTATTTAAGGTGTTACTATTTTTTCGTTTCCCCCTATAGTTTCCCTCAAAACAAGACTTTATGTAATAAGATAGTAACCACTTCAAAATTATTTCGAAGGTCTTGTATGTCATACAAGAGTGCTTATTTAAAAATTAGAACACCTGATGGGCTGCGCACGTGTGTTTTGTGTGTGGGTGTTGTGGCATCTAAGAGCAGCTGGCTGTTAGATGGACCCAGTTTAGTGCAGGAGTATCTCAGGGTGTGTAGGAGTCCAAGTAAAGTCTTCAGTAGGTTGTGTTAAAGTCAGTTTCGAATAGCTCTATAAAGGAGCAATCTTGTAATAGTTTCCAGCCGCCACCAAATGGTGCATTGCCTGCTTTCCTTACGAAGGGGGTTAATGTTCACTGAACAGTATTCCAGCTTGCGGCAGCTGGAAATAATAAGATTCCTCCTTTATAGAGCTATTCCAAACTGACTTGAACAAAACCGATGTACGACTCTTTACTTCTAATAGGACTCTTACACACCCTGGATACACCCGCATAAACTGGACCCATCTAACAGCCAGCTGGATTCTCTTAGATGCCACAACAGGGTGTGTGTACCTGCGCATGTGAAGTTATGCATCCTTAGTGGACCTATGTTCTATTACTCACAAATAATACTCCTAATGTTTGATGTCTATGAATCTTGACCGAGTGGATGGGTGCATGTGGACTAAGTCCTGTTGCATTTAATCTTCAGGAGAGGATTAGTGGAACTCTTTGGCTTGCTTGAAAAAGGAGAACTTATGGAAGGTCCTAAGCTGTCCTCACTTGTTACTAAAATGCATAAATACAGGTGATTTGATTTTATTGAATATATGAAAATGTTAAATATCACATGCACATTACTTCTGCTCCATACTTCATGGATTGTACTGAGTTTGCATCTCTGATTTCAGGCAAGGCGCCCCAAGGAAGAGATATGCGTCCTTGCCTGGGAGCAAGGGCAGAGCACGTCTTAGGACAGAGGAATCCTTTTACGAAAACCCATTCCCAGAGTGCATCTGCCTGACTGGGAAGCATTGATGTGATGATGGTGTAAAGGTATGCCACTATCCTCTAGCAGCATTATACTAGACTCGTTAGTTTGGAGGTAACTTACTTTTGAATCAAAAGTAGTTTAAATCATATAAATGAGTCATTTGCTAATAGTTATTTTGTCTCTTCAATCTTCTGACAACTACATGAAAAATATGTGTTGTATGAAGACCTAAGTACAGCAAAAGTTAACCACTTTAGAGCAATTTTTAAGATATTGGGAGGAGAGTCCCCTTCCTACCCTAGAGTTAACTTTTTGTTCTAGCTTGCCTGTGAATATTGATTTAATCATAATGCTTTCAACAACTCTAGCTTAATGCTGGTTCTTCTATGATTATGATTGAGATATTCCTTTTAGGTTACCCATGAGGTTATTATGCATATACCATTTTCTAAATGTTTTATAGTTACTGCTCTTATATCATGCTCTAGCCGTTTGTATATCATGCTGTAGCCATTTGTATTGCTGCATTTCATCAAACCCTAGCAAGTTAGCATATCTTAGAATTATTTGAATGAACTTTGAACTGTTCTTATTTGCACTACATGCTGTCACATATACTCAGCTGCTCAGCCTATATTAGGTGTTTCAGTTCGGCCACTGGAGCTCTAGTGACGCATTGAAAGTTGAAATCACACTCATACTCCATGATGCCTTCACACAAGTCAGGCAAGGGCGTCATTCTTTCGCTGATCTAGATCTAAGAACCCTATATGGAGGCCGGCAAGTGTAGTGAAACAACTCTACATGTATCAGTCTATCAGTTCACTGCCAGTCATGGATTAGACATGTAGGCTACAGCCAAGGAAACTTCAAACATGCATTTATGCATTCAGGTCTGGAAGTTGTTATATGCGCCCTGAAGGCGCCTTTAGGTCTGAATTCTATCTGTAACTAGAAGAGGAAGCTTACATACAATGTTCAATTTCTTCAGCTAGATAATCATCGTTACAAATGATGTGTACTTACCCTCCCTTTACATAACGGCATCCCTCATCTTCTCTAATAATAAAACAGATTACGTGATGAACGAACCCAATGGAACCACCCTAGACTACGCGGAATGATTCTGCTATTTGCTTCAGATCCTTGTAATGCCTTTTCCATTGTAGCCCTGCAAAAATACATAATTCCTTTCCAAGATGAGAAAAGTGACCATAGAAATCAGCACCATATAGTGATAAGGACAGTTATTTCACCGTTTGCAGTGACGCTGAACAGGTAGAGCCTATTCCCAGCAGCCGTAGCTGTGATGAAGATATGGGGTGGTTCCAGCTCGAACTGGTAGTAAGTTCTTCCGGAATACTCTGCTGTGGCTGTGGACAAAACCTTCCCTTCCACATTCTCGCCGATGACCTCCGGTCCAAAGGCGTTGATCACCTTCTCCGGCGTGCCGATCTTCTCGATCGTTGCATCGTCAAGGTCATCTTGGCAGTTTCAGCATGATAGTCAGTACCATGAGACAGTTACCACGCTACAAAATATGCCAGGAAAGAACAGTTTGTTCAGGGCTCACCTGCAAACCTACGAGTGGGCGCTACGATGACAGATAGTCGGCCCTCCTTGGGGTTTCCGAACCGCAGGTCGATCTCTGTGCCACCGAGATCAGCAATCGACACTGGTGTCTAAATCAGAACACATCTTTTGGATCAGAAAGTGTGTGACTGACTATGTTTTGAAAGCTAAATTTCTGCCAGTAGCTCCAGTTCTCACCTCTTCCCAGCCATCAGGAACTTTGAAGCTGTACGGGATGATCGGGCTCCAGCCGACTCCGTGGCCACCAGACTTTTCATCCGGCCTGCGGTATGTTTTCCAACCTATCTGAACAAATTACATCCTTACGACATGCACCACGAGAATATGAAAGGCGTATCTGAAGTCTGATCTGCTCTAAGTTGAACTACCAAGAACATATCACATGGAATTAACAGATGAAGATGGCAGCAAGTAAGAACCAACCATTCTGATCAGGGCCAGAGAGCCCAGGGATCCTCCCTGCCAGCGGGCCCTGCTTGGCCGCCGCCAGGCCATTGCCTGCAAAACCAAGCACCGAAACTCCACAAGCTGCTGCTGCAGAGGCCAGTGCATTTCTCCTCCCTACCAAGGCCACCATCACCCCCTCTCTCTCTTCCTCCTCATGCGATCCTGACAGGGTGGGCCCACCGCTGCACCTCACAACCGCAGGCGCCCTCCCCTTGGTAGGGTGAACCTGCTTTGTAAGGAACAGAGAGGAGGAGGAGCTTGGCAAGAAGAGGGCCAAGCTGCTCATCTCTGCTAGCTAGAAGTCTTCCTTCTGTGTGATTCGGCTCTGCCTGTTGTTCTTGGGAACTGCTGCTTCTGGTTTTGCCTGGAGAGAATTATCTCTCTTTTGTTCGGTTCATCTTCATCATACATACTCCGCGGGCTGCTGTGGGCCGCAGGGGATGAGTGGCCAGGAGGGTTTGAGGGTTGAGACCAAACATCTCACCTTTGCCCTGTTTGTTTTCTGCCGTGCCTGGCTCGAATGGAAAATCATTTCTTTTTTACTTTTGGCTTTGGCTTTGCACATAAAATCTGAGTAAATAAGAGAATCTACAGCCGGAAATCTGGGCTCTCAAATGCCTGCGGACGCGACTGACCGACCAGTCCTCAAATTGGGTCTTCCACATCCGTGTATCTCATATCCGATCCTCTATATCCATACTAAACCATGCAACGTGGATAAAACTATGTAGATCATGAAATGGGACATAAAATCAGACATAGAAATGCATAATCCGTTCACCAAAAGATCACCACCGGATCTTTAAAAGACCGCCAAAGTTTACATAATGCACATAAACGACGGCCAAGTTTAAACTACATCTAAAAACTAGAAATTAAATTTCCTAGTCAAAAAAAACTTGAAATTAAAGTGGAGAAGACGGATTTTCACCACTTCCTTGCTGGCCCTTTCCTCTTCTGGTCGATGACGTAGCTGTAGGCGCCGACGGCCGGTGGAGGATCGTCTGAGTCGTTGGAGGAGGCGCCGTGGTCGTCGCCGTTGTCGAAGGAGTCGGAGAGGATGATGAGCCCTTTGAGCCACTGGACTACCATGTCTTGCTGCCGCTTGAGCTTCGCCACCCAAGCCGCTGCCTCCGCCGCCTCGCGCTCCGACTGCTCAATGGCAAGCCAGAGCGCCTTTGCGTTCTTCCGGCGGAGCCGCTGAGCGTTTGTCTCCGCCGTCGTAAGCGACCGGCGGTAGACCCAAGCGAGAAGCGCTCGTTCTCGTCGGGCTCCGCCGGCAACCCACGGCGACGGTGCATGAATTGCTCTGTCGCGTCCCTCTCCCTTGCATGCTGCCTCTCACGGCGGGCAGCGGGTGCCTCTGATTCCAGCGTGCGCGTCCGAGCGGACGGGACGGGCATAAGCACCCACCGCCGCCCTTGCGGAGCAGCAGCCGACGTGATAGGGGACTGCAGTGGGGACTGCAGTGCAGACTGCCCAACCCTCGCAGAGCTGCGCGCGGGCTGGGATAGCCCAGCTCCAGCGTCCGCACCGCGTCGGCGGGGGAGAGGCGAGGCGGCAGATCTGAAAATGCCCCCTGTGTCCACCTTTGACCTCGTGAGGGCAATGCTAAGGGCTAACTCCTCGTCGACGTCGAGGTCGGAGTCGGAGCGGCTGCCAGCGCTCGACATGGTTGTCGGAGTTGTCGGAGTGGATCAGAATCAGAGAAATCAAAGTAGGTGGAGAAGAAGAGACAAAGCGAGAGCGGAGTGAACTGAGCTATGGTTTTCGGGTTGGGGTGGATTGGTGGTTTTTGTGGGGACGGAGTGGGATCGGGGTGGGCTGAGCTAACATGGCGGACAGGCCCATACTGTCAATATCGGCCCTATATTTGGGTGGGATATGAGAGGCGCCGGACAGTCAAGCGTTTGAAGCCGGTTTAAGGCGCCCACTTGGGTCAGTTTTTTTGGCCGGCCAATGACTGTGCCTTCCGTCCAGGTGTTTGAGATGAGTTGGGGTGCCTATAGATGCTCTAATGAAACGAACAATTATCAACAGAGCAGGATGTGCCGTGCTTCCTTGAGGCAACTTCCAATCAACATTGTCAGTCAAAAACAACTTTTTTCTGAATATATGGTAGATCAGAAAATGAACCACACGCCAAGAGCCCAAGAAAAAGAACATTCTGGCAGTTGCAGGAACATGCCACGACGGTCACACGCATGCTAATTAATCAATTAATTTCTCTGGAAGAATACAGGTACTGTGCAGCGCAATCCACATGCCATATCTTGCTGACAGGTGACATGGCGACGTCCTAGCTACACGTTCTTCCCCGATTCACCAGTCGTATATACGCCGTACGTCGCCGCGTAGACCGGCTGGATTTGAAAATCTTCGTTTGCAAACTAAAAGACCTGTTTACTTGTCGGTATGCCAATGATTTAGTTTATCTTAGTACTACTTGCGCTATCACTAGTCATATGTGCTGATTTTGCGCGTCCCTCCTTTGTTTTATCAAGAATGGTATCCACTTCCGACTTCTCCAGAATCTTTGTACGTGCGTGCATGCGTGCGTATGCCTCTATGACCAACGTGCACCCGGCTGGAATTCCTCAATTCCTCCAGGAATAGGAACGCGGGATGCCGGCCAGAGGGTCGCGGTCTTCACAAATTCCCTCGCGACTGTTCCTGGGGTTCAGATTGATCAGCGCGACAGCGAAATCTGCAAGGACGCGAAGAAAAACGGGGTTGGCACCGCCGTACCGCATGCGATCACTATCGCATCCCTTGAACGTTTTGCCGGAAAAACCTCACATTCTGTCATCCTGTACCCGCAGCACGGTCGCATTCATAATTCATATCGCATTTGCCTGGCAGAGGAGTGTGCAGACAGCGTCCGCCACAGTGCCGTTCCGGCTAACCAATGAACGTAAGCTGTCAGAGATGATGCTCCGTTGCTACATGCCTGCTACAGTACATCCCTTTCGCTGTATGCACCGGGATTTATTCTTTGGATGCG